AAGCAACTTCCCTAGGGTCCCCCGTGTTACTTAGCTTCGTTGGGTCTGTGGACTGTAGCATGGTTATCCTGTGTTATATGGCTAACACCCGCTTATCAGTGAGTATATACCATGTGTGTCTTTCTGTTCCTGGGATACCTCAGGATGATCTCTTTTAGTTCCATCCATTTGCCTGCAAATTTCATGATTTCCTTGTTTTTAATAGCTGAGTAGTATTCCACTGTGTAAATGTACCACAATTTCTGTATCCATTCTTCATTTGAGGGACATCTAGGTTTTTTTCAGTTTTTGGCTATTACGAATAAAGCCGCTATGAACATAGTTGAGCAAGTGTCCTTGTTGTATGGTGGAGCATCTCTCGGTATGTGCTCAGAAGTGGTATAGCTGGGTCTTGGGATAATTGGGGAACAATTCCTTCTCTTCACATGGGTACAGAAGATGGTTCGACATTATTAACAATGCCCGTGGCAGGGTGGTAACCAGATCTCAAGGCACTAAAATGAGCATTTGAATACGTAGCACCAGACCAACCCCCAACACCCAGCCCTCATATATTTGTTAAAATGTTAATTTTAGGCTATCTTAAAAATATTTACTATTTCAGAAAATTATCCTCAAATATGAGATAACAAAAAAATAATAGTTCAGTGTGGCTAATTTAGGAGGTGAAAATTACCCGACTTTCAGAAAGCGGCGTAGCTTGAAGGCTGAGCAGCTACAGGACGTGAGCCTTCACGGGAGTGAGTCCGGGCTGGGTAGACCACAGGCCCCTGGTGTGGGACCGCCTCCTCAGTGTGCCTGTTGATTCGGACAGGTTGGCTCGAAGCTGATCTCCTGTCACAAGCTGGTCCTGGCCTGTGTGATCCCCTACTTCAGAGCCATGTTTCTCTCTGAAATGGCTGAAGCCAAGCAGGCGCTGATTGAGATTCGGGACTTTGACGGTGACGCCATGGAAGACTTGGTGAAGTTCGTCTACTCTTCGAGGCTCACGTTGACGGTGGACAACGTGCAGCCCCTGCTGTACGCAGCGTGCATTCTGCAGGTGGAACTGGTGGCCAGAGCCTGCTGCGAATACATGAAGTTACATTTTCACCCCTCCAACTGCCTGGCAGTACGAGCCTTTGCGGAGAGTCACAACCGAATAGACCTGATGGATATGGCGGACCAGTATGCCTGCGAGCACTTCACCGAGGTGGTGGAATGTGAAGACTTCGTGAGCGTGTCGCCTCAGCACCTGCACAAGCTGCTGTCCTCCAGCGACCTCAACATTGACAGCGAGAAGCAGGTCTACAGCGCTGCCATCAAGTGGCTGCTCGCCAATCCCCAGCACCACCCGAAGTGGCTGGACGAGACGCTCGCACAGGTAGGGTGCGGGCGGGACCACGCGCACGAGCGCGTTAGTGCCAGGTGTCACTTGTCTGAAGGGGTTAATGCACTGTGGTTAACTCTTTGTGCCCTGTGCAGGTCCAGCAATGACACATGTGGGTCTGTGGTGCCTGAATGGTCTTAAGCGCAGACACTGAAAATATTCATATGAAGTAGAAATGGACACTGTGTTCTATTATTTGAAAATGGCTCTAGGGAAACAGCTCTCCCAGTAATTCATGACTTACTTCATAATGAAGCTTCTAAGTTTCATGGATCATTTTCCTAATGACAGTATTGCTAATGACTGTAGACCTGTGCAGGGAAGACCACATAACAACTTTGCTTGTACCTTGTGTTCCCTCTTCCTACCCTGGAGTTTCCTCCTCCTCTCCCTCCCTTGCCTCTTCCTCTTGTTTCATTTACTTACCTTTTCCTGAAATTAATGCTTTATTAAAACTCTAATTGGTGGGAAAAAAAACAAAAACAAACAAACAAACAAACCACGTTGGATTGGGGTCGGGGTGTAGCTCAGCGGCCAGACTGCTTGCCTGCCGTGCATGAAGCCCTGGTTTGATCCTCAGTGTGGCATAAGCATGCTGATGCCTACCTGTGGTTCCAGCACTTAGGAGGAAAAGGCAGGAGCATCAGAGCTTGGCTCCACAGCCAGTCTGGGCTGCATAAAAATCTGTCTTAAAACAAAAACAACTAAAACACTGGGTACTTAATCCAGTTTGTTGTTGTTTGTAGACAGGGTCTAGCTCAGACTAGCCCAATACTCTATACCTCAGGCTGGCCCCAGACTCACAAGCCTTCCATCTCAGCCTCCCAAGTCTGGGATTATAGACATGAGTCACTATGTTCAGTTATGCCCACATTTTATAAAAATTTAATAGTGTTATCAAAACCTTAATTTATTAAGAACAAATATTTATTCTCAGAGGAAGAAAACCTATTCAAATGTGATTGTAATTGGATTTTTAAAGCACAAGTAACAATTATTTTTCAACTTCTAATTTATTTCACATATAGCAGGGTTTTTTTTGCATGTTATTATTTATATGAAGCTGAGAATTAAAGCCAGGAGCTTTGCAGGTGAAGGACAAGGTCATAGCCATAGTTCTGTGATATGTGAGAATGGGGTATATGGATTCTGTTCCTGCTTAAGTTTCGTATCACAATTGTTCATGATCTTAGGTTCGTCTGCCATTGCTGCCGATTGATTTTCTTATGGGTGTTGTGGCAAAAGAACAGATTGTCAAGCAAAATCTCAAATGTAGAGATCTATTGGATGAAGCAAGAAATTATCACCTTCATTTGAGCAGCAAGACGGTCCCTGACTTTGAGTACACAGTCCGGACTACCCCAAGGAAGCACACTGCTGGTAATTAAGTTACTCATTTTGTCAGATTGCCAGAGAGGATATTTGACGTAGCTGAGGGTTATGTATGCCTAAACTAGTAATCAGAAAATTAGTGTTTGATTGTTTTACCTAAGAATTGGTCAGTAGGTATATGAATGTATTCATGATTCTTAGTGTTCATCATTTAGTTTTATTAATATACAGGTTTTTTTTGTTGATTTTGGTATTTGGTTTTATGAGACAGAATCTCCCTGTAGCCCAGGCTATCAGGGCTCTGCCTCCTGAATGCTCAATCACTCTTGTGCCACTGTGCCTGCCTACAATAAGCCAGTCTTTTAAAAGGCTGTAAGTCCTACAAAATTTGAAGCAATAGCTTTTCCTTTGAGGTCTTTCCTGGATTGGACACTATGGTGCCTTTAGAGTACTGTTTTGGAATTTGTTTGGCTATGTTGCTTTGTTATCTGTTTATTGACATGCCTTGAGATTGACATGTTCTTCAGAAAGGGCTGAAGATCATTAGACTCGTATCTATAGTGCCAAGCATTGAGGCTGACAAACTTCACATAGAAATCAGAAGAAAAGCATAAACCATACCCAGCATTTGTATGAAGGGCGAAGCTCCTAGAATTGAAATCTCTTACATACAAGAAGCATGTGGCTTCTCACTAGCTGACACCACATCAGACTACATTTCCAACCCAGGCCGACCTGGAAGTCCTGGTGTATCGCAGCCAGTCCTAAAATCCCTGTGTAACCTGAGATGGCCTTGAACTCATGATCTTCCTGTCTCCTCCCAAGTGCTGGGATTCCAGACATGTACCATGACCACATCACGTTTAGTTTTATATTTGGATGATGAGAGAATATAGATGAAGTCCAGCAGCTCAGCAAAAGAAATCCTGTATAGAGGTGTTCTCTGTGTTGGTACCAAGGAGTGCTGTGTGGGGCACAGCCTGACAGCCACAAAAGGCAGCGGTAGGTTCTGAGCACACCTGCTTCTGAAGATGTTCTTCTAGGCAGTTCACCTGAGAAAGACTGTCTCCTCCTCCTCCTCTTTTTCCTTCTTCCTCCTCCTTCTCCTTTTCTTCCTTCTTCCTCCTCCTCCTCCTTCTTTCTTCTTCTTGAATTCCAGTTGTTAGTTACATCCAGGCAGCATTTTCACTTTTGCCTTTAATCCCAGCACTTTTTTGAGGCAGAAGCAAGTGGGTTTTATCTTCTGAGTTTGATGCCAGCTTAGTCTACATGGCCTCTTCCAGGCCAACCCTGTCTAAAAAAAAAATTTTTTTTTCTATCACAGAATTCTGTTTTTGTGAATCCTGCTTCATAAGTTAAAGATGTTTAATTAAGTTCTTTAAGCTCACCATTTTCTCAGCTTGTCTGTTGCTCTGAGGGATAAAATCTAGTATTTTGTGCATACTAGGCAAACATTCTCCAAACCCAGATTTAAATTCAAGGTGTAAGCAGGCCTAGGGTCATTCCAGAATGCACCAGACATCCATATACGTGTCTCACATAATCATCAAAACATTCCAGAATAGATCTTAACAGAGCTGGCCTTTCATCAGATGGGTTTCCTCCATTTTAGGAAAGAGGACTAAGAATTAGGACGGAGTTATCCAAACCACACAGAGACAATGGAGAAAAGGATTTGCATGTGGATATTTTTGTTGCCTGTTTGTTTCATAACGTGTTCAGAGGTGAGCTGTGTAGCTTTCACTTAGAGCAAATGTCATCAAAGAGCAAGACTGTGCCCTGGGATTATAATTCTACTACTGTTGTTACATTTGACTGATTTCTTAATTGTTCAAGGGCACACTGTTGATTATAAATGTGACCACATGATCTTTCAGTTCTCCTGTAACTGTAACTTCTCTGACTCAAAGCATTGAGCAAGCAGGAAGGGACTCCAGTGGGTAAACGCATTTGCAGTCACTCGGCAGACATCAAATGCTTGCTGTGCTTGCTCTGGAATAGGGTTAGAAGGGCAGACACACTGCCTGTGTTGGGAGAACAGACAGATAAACTGTGCAGAGCACTGCAGGCGCTTTGCTGTGACCAAGTGTGGGGTGAGAAGCCGCTGGTGGCTGCTCTGTGAGGGACACGAAAGGGTTAAAGAGGAAATAAAGCTCAGACCTTGTGTTAAATCAGAAATAACCTTCAGGACACCGGTCAGGTGTTCTTGTACTGTTCACGTGTTCTTTTACCTTCCCAGAGTGCCCAGCACACTATGTAGTTAGCGTTAAATGCTCACTTCCGCAGCACTCACCAGGCACCAGGTAGTTAACTTGTAGACACCCACTTCCACAGCGGAGCACACACCAGGCACTATGTAGTTAGCGTGTAAATGCTCACTTTAACAGTTGTATTAGTTTGGGGTGACAGTTGTCAGCATGTGGATATTTCAGTCATGTGTGATTGAAAGGTCATTATCAAAAGTGCAAAAGCAGGAACACCGAGGATAGATAGGCACAGGAGCTTGAGCTGCGGGTGGAGTAAGACCAGAGGAGTTTATGTTGTGCCGAGAGACATCTCTTTCCTTGCAGCGGTAGGGATCAGTCGCAGGCCCGAGACAAGCATCCCAGCACTGAGCAAGCACATCTCCAGCCCTAAGGCTTTCCCTTTAGGCAGCCAGTGCTTCTCAGAGCACCGAGAATGGTCACCCAGGAGCCTGAGAGAGAGAGTCCTTAAACCTTTTCCCAAAGACTGAACCAGGGACGCTGAGGGTCAGACCCCAGATCTGTGTTCACCTTTCAGGAGATTCTGTACATTAAGTTTTTTGTTTGTTTGTTTTCTTTTCTTTTTGAGTTGTGTGCAAATGAATGATTTACACACAGCTGAATGAAAACATGTCATTTTAACCATTCTTACAGTGTAGGGCATTTGCTGAAGTTCTTTGGGTAGAGGTTATGAGAGAGAGTTGGAGGAGTATTTTATCAGATTGTCCTATTAGAGACACCATGACCATAGCAATTCTTATAAAGGAAAACATTTCATTGTAGCTGGTTTACAGATTCAGAGGTTTATTGTCATGGTGGGAAGCACGGTGTCCTGCAGGCAGACATGGTGCAAGAGGGGTAGCTGAGGGTTCTACTTCTGGATCAGCAGAAAGCAGGGAGAGAGACTGACACACTGGGCCTGGCTTGAGCTTCTGAGACCTTAAAGCCCACCCCCAGTGACATACTTACTCCAACAAGGCCACAGCCCTAAAAGTGCCATGGGCCTATGGGGCCCTTTCCACTCAAGCAGCCACAATCCTGTTGACAGTCTGGAAGCCAAATGGCTTCTCAGTGAGGAGAGGCTGGGTCTTGCAGCTGAGCTGCAGCTTGTGGAGACCTGCATGGAGATAGTGGCGGCTTGACAGGGACAGGGCGGCTGGGTCAGGAGAGGCAGGAAGAAGATGCTCTGGGCACTGGGTCTCGGGGCTGTGTAGGCCTCAGGCATGTGGACTGAAGACCCTATGACATGGTGGTCACCACACAGGGATGAGCCTTTCCCTCAGGGCTACAGAGGGAGGAGTGGGTGGAGTATATACACAAAAAGGGACCTGATTTTACAGACAGCGAAGGAAGGGAGTTTCCAAACAGGTAGGCAGATGTAGCCAGCACTGAGCTGTGTTCCACAGGGAAGCAGCTCAGGGGTTGGCAGAGGTAGACTGCTCAGCTGCTCATGACAAAGGTCTCAACAGTATACAGATACGCTTGTCCTTTCTCCTTGATTCTGTTACTTAAGTAAGGACACTTGTAGTGAGTGAGGACATGAAGAAGGCTAGATAACTGATCACTCATATTCTTTGAAAAGTTAGAGTAATGGGGCAAAAAGATACTAATGAGATTTCATAACTTATCTTAAAAAAAAAGAGCCTGTTACTGAGAGTTTGACAACCATTTTCCACTATTAAAAAGAAAGTCTTAAGAGCTGTGATCCTCATCTGTGTCATTGGCTTTGCTTAGGTGTGCTGTTCTGTGTGGGTGGCCGAGGTGGATCTGGTGACCCTTTCCGTAGTATTGAATGCTATTCCATCAACAAAAACAGTTGGTTCTTTGGACCAGAAATGAACAGCCGAAGGCGACACGTAGGCGTGATCTCTGTGGAAGGTGGGTCTGTTGTTTTGGAACCTTACGCAGCTGTGCTGTTTGTCTTAACAACGTGAACTTTGAAATTCTCTTCCTTTCTGCAACAGTGGTTGTATACATTAGCATGTTGGTATATTAATTAAAAATGAGCAGATGGAGAAAGTAAAATTCTTGTGGTTGGGCATGGTGGCACATACTTATAATCCCAGCATCTGGAGACAGAGGCAGGAGGATTTTAGTTCCTGGCTAGCCTGACCTACATGGCAAGACCCTGTTTTAAATCACCAAGGGCTAGAAATGTATCTCAGTGGTAGATTTCATTTATAAATGAAATATCCTGTATCAATTATAGTAAATGTTTTAGTTCTAAATCAGTTCTGGTTTTTATATAAAAATTTTTAAGAGAAGATCTCTAGCCCTTGGGTGTCTTAGAATTCACTATGTAGTACCTGAGGCTGACCTTGAACTCCCAACCTCCTGCTTCTACCTCTTAAGAGCTAGGATTACAGGCATGCACCACATACCCAGCTATGCAGTGCCAGGAGTGGGCTCAGGGCTTCCTGTGTGCTAGGCAAGAACTCTGCCAACTGAGCTCCAGCCTCAGCTCCTACATTATTTTTATGTATTTTAAGAGATTTTTTATGTGTGTGACTGTTTGCCTGCATGTACATATGTGCACTGTGTGTGCGCCTGGTGCAAGGAGGGCAGCAGAGGGCAGCAGATGCCCCTGGGGCTCCACAGTGGAGCCTACCTGTGCGTGCTGCCGGGCCCTGGAAGAGCACCACGCCCTTAGCTGCCAACTGTCTCCCCAGCCTCTGCATGTCCTCCGGTAACAGGAAAGGGGGATTCGTAAACTGCTGTGACATTTTTTCAGTGGTTCCGCAATTTCATTAATTTTTAGTGATGATGAAATCTCATTTCTGTAGCTGTGCAGTGCAGGAGAGTGCCGGGCAGGCTGGGCAACACAGCGTGGCAGAGCGTTTGTCTCACTTTCTCTGCTTCTGTCTTACTCAGAGAAAGGCTGATCAGTTTTGTACTAACAGAGTATATTATCTTTATAATTTGTTATTAGCCTTTTTTTCCATTTTACAGACCTGTTGTGGAGGCAGAATTGATGATTTAATTTACTACTTAATAAAAAGTGATAAAACCCAAGAAGTTGGCATTTGAAGGCGTGTTCAGGGAAGCCACCCGCTGATTTGTGCTTAACTGGTGACATGAGTCCAATATCGAACAGAAAGAAACATTTAAAGTTAATTATTATGATATTCTAGTTATAGAGTGCCCTCATGTAAATAACATTAATATCATATGATCTCACGTGTAAACAGCATTGACATCACATGTGAATAACATTAATATCACATGATCGCTCATGTAACTAACACTAATATCACATAGTATCACGTGTAAATAACATTAATATCATGTGTACTAACACTAATATCGCATTGTTACGAGCTAGATCAAGTACTTCTGTGTTTGGCAGGTAAAGTGTATGCAGTGGGCGGACATGATGGAAATGAGCATTTAGGCAGCATGGAGATGTTTGATCCTCTCACTAACAAATGGATGATGAAGGCCTCAATGAACACCAAGAGGTACGTCAGCATGCTCACTCCTTGGAAACTGTGAAGAGGATGAATTCTGAAAAATGTCACTTTGAAGCTTTCTCTGACTTTTAGACTGTATCTGAGAGCCCCTTGTGTTAACGCACCCAAAGCGTGCTGTGTCACAGCTGTACCTTTAAGAAGGACACGGTGAGGGCGTGGAGAGATGGCTCAGCAGTTGAGACTGCCGCCTTCCAGAGGACCCGGCTCTGTTCCTGGCTCCCACACTGGGCAGCCCACAACCAACTCCTGTCGCAGCAGATCCAACACCCTCTTGTGAACCCTCTAGCACCCATACACACATGTGCGTGCACACACACACACACACACACACACCCCTTTTTAAAATGGTTTGAATGGACTCACCTTTCTGTTCCCATCTTGGTGACCACAGTCTTCTTTAAAAAGCCTGGCTGCTCTTTTAAAGACCTTTTATTTGAAACAATTTTAGGTTTTGTTTTGTTTTGTTTTTTTGCCTTTTTTTTTTTTTTTCAGAAAAGTTGCAAAAATGGTAACATTCCCTTTTTGCTTGTTTTGCTTAATTTTATTTAAAATTCTTTCTGCATTCATTTCTTTATTGGGCAGGGAAGAAGGGAGGTTCATGTGTGAGGTCAGGGCAGCAGTCAGCCGGCTCCTGCATCCTGTGTGCTCCAGGGATCAGGCTTGGTGCGGAAGCTCAGTGGCCTTCGCCTGCAGAGCCACTCCAGCAGCCCTTGGTGTTTGGCCTCGTTCCTTTCTACTTTGTTGTGTTATGATGGGACAGGATCTCATGTCACACTTGCTTTCCAAAAAACTGTTACAGGTATTAGGGACTCAGCTGAAAGTCATATTGCCTCCTCTGCTGTACAGTTACTGCGTGTGTCTCGTGGGAGGGGTCAGGGATGCTGCAGAAAATCCTCCAGTGCTATAGGGCAGCCCTCTAGAGCAGAGAATTACCTAGACTGAAGTGCCAGCCACGCCAACGTAGAGAGCACACCCTGCCATCCACCCTTCACTAGCTTGTATGTTCCCATCTCACAGTTAGAGTAGTGTCAGATAAGCACTGATGCACTATTGCCAACTCTTGCCAGTTTCCATGTGTGTGTGTGCAAGTGCCCACTGAGGCCAGAGAGGGCATCAGATCCCATGGAGCTAGAGTTATACATGTTTATGAGTGGGTTAGCAGGAGTGCTAGAAACCAAACTCCAGTCCTCTGCAAGAGCAGCCAGTGCTGTTGACCTCCGGGCCACCCCTCCAGCCCTCCTCATGCATCCTTAGGTTTCATTGTTTTACATCCCACCTTTATTGGCTGATAACTTGATGTTGCATGAATAGAAATTGAAACAGGTATGTTTGTCTTATTCCTGACCTGAATGGATATGCATGTAGTGTTTCTCTTAAATATTATCCTAATTAGTTTAATCCCAACACTCAGGAGGCAGAGACAGGGAGATCTGTGTGAGTTCCAGGCCAGCCTGGTCTACAGAGTGAGTTCCAGGACAGCCAAGGCTGCACAGAGAAACTCTGTCTCAAAAAACAAAAACAAAACAAATTAGAACTAAGGTTTATTGTTACCTTGTTAAGAAAATGGCTCCTTCAATTTCTGCTTTCTTTACTGATTTTAAGATTAGTGATGAACAAAAGAACCAAAAAAATCAGGGCCCAGGGGTCTTTTCTGAGGCTGATACTCCAACCAAGGACCATGCATGGAGATAACCTAGAACCCCTGCACAGATGTAGCCCATGGCAGCTCAGTTCCCAAGTGGGTTCCCTAGTAATGGGAACAGGGACTGTCTCTGACATGAACTCAGTGGCTGGCTTTTTGATCACCTCCCCTTGAGTAGGAAACAGCCTTACTAGGCTACAGAGGAAGACAGTGTAGCCACTCCTGATGAGACCTGATAGGCTAGGATCAGATGGAAGGGGAGGAAGACCTCCCTGAGAGTGGACTGGGTGAGGGACATGGGAAGAGAAAAGGGAGGGAGGGTGGGATTGGGAGGGGATAAGAGAGGGGGCTGCAGCTGGGATACAAAGTAAAAAATTGTAGTTAATATAAATATATAAATTTTAAAAAACAAAACAGATTAGTGGTAATATATGAAATTTTTATCTATAATAAATTGAACTATATTTTGATTACTAGAGCTCGTCTACAGGGGAGATTATTAATTACATGATTCAGATTAATTACATGATTTAACCTCTCATGAATTTTTATTGATGATATGAATAGTAACTGCCAACATCCTGAGATGAAACAGCAACTACAATCATGTCACCAAGTCAGGACACAGAAAGCAGCAGGCAGCAGCAGCAACAGAACCAAGCAGACCAAATACTCGGTAGACAACACCTTCCAAGTGATGTCAAACAAGGTTATACATTCAGGCCTAAAGACATCAGTTATACCAGGACGATGTGGTGGGAGATGGGGTTTGTGGCTGTTTGTGCAGCGTGAAGTGTTGACTCGCACCGGTGTGAAACACAGATCGTAAAGCAAAGGAATAGAGTGTTTACAGCACATTGTCTGCATTCAGAGCTGTGAAGAGAACTATAGGGCGATTATAGTCTGCTGCTCCGGGTGCAGTCCTGGTCACGATAGGAAGCTACACTGCTGCTCATGCTCCTCTGTCAACTTTTAAACTGTTGCTCTGGGTGCATGCTTTGCAGTCAGTGGAGGCTGTTCATGTAGCCTCCCTGTGTTCATAATTTGCTGTGCAAAAGCTGAATGATGTAAACACAGGAATGGTGGCCTGAGCTGCCTTAGGAAGAGACTAGCAGGAAGACACCGGGAATGGGCTCTGTGAAAGTCCTTGAATGTTGTGCACATTCCACACTTTTGATCCAGATGCTGAAGCAGCAGCAAAGCTGTTTGCCTTTCTAAAGTTCCCAGGGAGGCGGGAGGCAGGACACGGGATACAAAGGTAACTGTAAGGGAAGGTCTGCCCTCAGAGGCCTCTACGGCACTGCAGCAGCTGGAGAGCTGTTAGCTCTTGGTGTGGAATTTGTCCTTTTTTTATTGTCCGTTTAACAGTGAGTTAACTTTCACTAGGGGCTGAGGCTTCTTTCAGAGGAAGGAAATAAATGCCCTCCAGAACTAAAGCAGTGCGCACAAAGCTTGTGATAGGAAAACAAGTGCCCTTTTCTGTGGTGTTTTATGAAACCCTGCAGCAAGATGAACTCATGGGTTCAGAACTCAAGTTGGCTCTTTTAACCCACAGCAAACTGTTTTCTTATCAGCCCATTAACCCCTCAGTTATATAACTATTTACTAACTGAACACTTTGGATTTTTTACACTGTTTTGTTGGGTTTTGCGTTAATTATTTGTTCTGAGTTTAGGGTTAACGTGTAGCTTGAGAGTGGACTGTGTGACCAATAGATGCAAGGCCCTGGGCTCAAACCCCCAAACACACGCACAAACTAAAAAAAGAAAAGTTTGCCCAAGTATCCAGTAGCCTGTGTAGGCCATGCACTGTACAGAGTAAAGGGGCCGACCCGAGCTGCTGCTCAGAACCGCTAAGGCATTTAAAACACTGGACACAAGCCACACGCTTCGAGGATTATCTTCTGAAGTGGCTGGCATTGAGGAAAGCTGCTGCTTTTTCCTAAAATAAACTCACACTGAAGCACGTTCTGTGTTTGTAGGCGAGGGATCGCCTTGGCCGCCTTAGGGGGCCCGATCTATGCAATCGGGGGGCTAGATGACAACACCTGCTTCAGTGACGTGGAGAGGTACGACATCGAGTCTGATCAGTGGAGCACAGTGGCCCCGATGAACACTCCCCGTGGTGGCGTTGGCTCCGTGGCTTTAATAGTAAGTGGCACAGCCCCTTCCTGTGGACGTCCGTGGTCAACACAGTCTGCTTCACAGCAGCTGCGCATCGACTGTATATCAAGTTGTTCACGAAATACTGGTCTTCCTGCGTTCTGCTTGCCTGTTAAGGCCGTGGAGAAGCCAATCTGACATGCATGCGTGTTTTGTTCCCTTCACTTAGAACCATGTGTATGCTGTGGGCGGCAACGATGGAGTAGCTTCCTTATCCAGTGTGGAAAGGTATCATCCACATCTGGATAAGTGGATAGAAGTCAAGGAAATGGGTCAGCGAAGAGCAGGCAACGGGGTTAGCGAGCTTCACGGCTGCTTGTATGTTGTTGGTGAGTATATGCCCTCTCTAATGGATCGAGGCATATGGCGACAAGTGCCATAAGATAACAGTCACAAACTGACTCAGCAGGTGGCCTTTAGTAGACTCAGTGCTGAGATGTGCCTGTGAGTTCTTAAAGCTGACATTAATGCTTCTTGATTTAAATCTTCAGATTTAAACCTGGGCCAGCTTGGTGACCCACGCCTTTAGTCTCAGCACTAACGGCAGAAGCAGGCGGGTCTCCGAGTTTTCGATCACTCTGCTCTATGTAGAGTCCGTGAGGTTCAGAGCTACATAGTGAGGCCCTGTCTCAGAAGACAAACACACAGAAAACTCCAAAAAGCAAAACTTAGATTATTCCTAAAGTAGGGGATTGCATTTAAATGAAATAGATATTTGTAAATGTAGAAACATAAATATGCTTTGCTAGAAGAAATGTTAAAATGTCTACAGACTTGTTTTTCTTCTACTTCATTTCAAGGTAAACTATGCTGATTGCTTCAAGAAAACAGTGCTTTTCTGTGTGAGGCGTGTTGGCCATTCTGTTTCTTTTTGACTGATTTAGTGCTGAGTTAGAAGGACGTCTAGAGCTCTATAGAAGGAATGCTCTCTCAGATTCTCAGTATACACAGGAACAACCTGGACTGGGTGTCCTGCTCAACAGGTGGCAGCAGGCTCTGTGTCATAGCACTTCTAGGAGTGGCTTGGTGTGTGGCCACCTCCGGGAGGCCTTCCATGACTGTGAACCTGGGATGGGCCGCCCACCTCTCAGGATTGTCTCAGGGATTAGGACTGGTGTACGTCTGAGCATCTTAGCTGTGCCCAACACAGGAGTCACTTGCTTGTCGTTAGTAACCCTTCCTTCCAGAGAAGGGGCTGCTTGGAGTGCTCCTTGGCACAGGCTGTCCGTCACAGGGTATGCTGACGGCCATCATTGGGGTGTTGCTGTTTATAGTTCTTAGTCGGAGGGTAGTGGGTTGTTGTCAGTAGAAGCAGCGTCCGGTCTTTCCGTGCTCTCACAAGAAAAGGAAGGGAATCAGACAGTCCACCTCAGCCTCACGGCCTTTGCATGGCAGTCAGTTGAAGAGAGAGCCAAGGGCCTGGACAAGTGAGAGGGGTGGAGGTTGAACCTGAGTGTGTGGGGACCAAAGTTCTTCTAGTCCGAGGTTGCAGCCGCAAACGGGTCATACTGCCACGTGTGTGGCATGTTTGCTGTGCTTATTAAGTCTCTGGGACCCTTAGAGCTAAAACAGGTATGATTAAAAAGGACAGCTCAGGGTGAGCATTGGAGCAGCCCTCTTGGGAGCTAGGGACAGCTCAGTGTAAAGCTAGCGTGCAGGAGGCCCTGGCTTCCGTCCTGAGCACTGAAAAACTGCAGCTAACCACCTCGTGGAGTATCAGGTCCTACTTAAGACACGTGCAGCTGGTGGGAATGATAACACGGAAGATGCGGGCCTGTGTAGCAGCCTCTTTACCTTCTGCGTTGTCTCTTCCTCTGCCGCGGTTTGTTTGCACTGTTAAGGATGGAACCTAAGGCTTCTGGTGTGGTCGGCACGTTCTTTACTGTTGAGCTACATCCTCAGCACTGAATCCTTCCTTATTACCTAGGGAGATTAAGTGAAACCAACAAACAGGAGAGCGATAGAGAAGGTGACTACAAACCCTTATCTTCCACATTAGTGTGAGCAGCAATGGACTTTTATTACGACGAAAAGAGCTTCAGTTGTGTAAGCATTTGCCCCCTCCCCCAAAACCATCTGGTTATGTGCATAAAATTAGTGAATTTTATTTCATTTCAATTGATATAATAAAAACCCTACTAAAAGGTATACCTACATGATATTTTTAAAACTGACCTTCTTTTTAAAGAAATGATCACTGCCTCCTACCTGGAAAACAGGTTGAGCCATTTTCTCCAGGAGAACTGCTGCTTTCTTAGAAGGGACGTGGAAAAGATGAAGGTCACAATGACAGTCCGGGCGGCACTCAGGGCTGTGCTCCATCACGCTCTACTGAAAAGACCATTACCCATAGACCATGTGACAGGAGGAAGATGTGGCCTTGGCAGAAATGTGAGGATTTGGTTCTGGCCTGCTGTCTCAGCAGTTGTGCTGGCAAGAATGGTTTTAGGAGGAGCCCTGGAACTCTTGCACTTCTGTCTGCATGAGCTGATGATTTAGTGAGGTTCAGTATTTCGCCAGCTTCCCAGCACACACAGAGGAAAGCCAGGTCTTACTCTAGTGCCTGGGATTCTCAGGACAGGTTATAAAACAGTTGCTTTCTCCCGTAAATCTCCCACTTTTCTACAGCAACTCTTTGTTTTTCACATTGAGACTTTAAACCCAGACGTGGTGGCATACATGCATAATCCCAGCACTGAGGAGGCTAAGACCCTGTCTCAAAAACCAAGAAAAAAAAAAAAAAACAAAAACAAAAAACGATTTTTAAGCCTATTGTTAAAGTACAGTACTGATGAAATAGTTGAATTGTAGAAAATTATAGTTGGTGGTAGTTAGGTATCAGAGTAATTTTTTTTTTTCTAAATCATTCTAAAATCGATTTAAAAGTTTGAGAGTTCTGTTTCATTTTGTTTTCTTTGAGACAGGATTTTTCTATGTAGTCCTGGCTGTCCTGGAGCTCCCCATGTAGAGCAGGCTGGCCTTGAACTCACAGAGATCCACAGGGCCCGTCTCTGCCTCCTAAGTGCTGGGACTAAGGGCATGTATCAGCAGCCTGACAAAAGCTTGAGTTATATAAGCTGTCGAGTTGGGGTCTAGTTGTCAGCTTTTATGAAATGGAAAGACTGTGTTTTAACTATCTCTTTGCAGGCGGCTTTGACGATAACTCCCCTTTGAGCTCAGTTGAGCGGTATGACCCTCGGAGCAACAAGTGGGACTACGTGGCAGCACTCACCACTCCCCGGGGCGGAGTGGGGATCGCCACAGTAATGGGCAAAATCTTTGCGGTCGGCGGTCACAATGGCAATGCGTATCTGAACACCGTGGAGGCCTTTGACCCGGTGCTGAATAAGTAAGTGTGCACTGTTTCTCTAGCCGCGTGCGGCACTCCACAGCAGAAGGCTCACCGCCCTCAGTGGAACCTGGGGCTGGGGGTAGAAGCCAGCTTTGCACATAGAGCTGGGCTTCCCCTGTCCATACGTGCTTAGGGCAAAATTCAGTGCCTGTGCTGCCGGCCTTTGGGACCTGTTCCTGCTGGGCTGCCCCATCGGCCCGCCTAGGAGAGGGTGTGCCTAGTCCAACTGCAGGTTGTGCCATGGCTGGATGGCATCCATGGGAGGCCTGCTCTCTGCTGAAGAGAAGAGGAGGAGTGGATGGGGTTGGAGGTGGGAGAGGAGACGTGGAGAAGGGACTGCAGGGGAAGGGGGAGGGGAAACTGGTCAGGGTGTAAAAGATGAATTAACTTAAAAGAAGATACAGGTCCCTGTGTAAAGTAGGCACAACAAAAGGTGAACAGTTGCTAACAAACTGCAACGTTGTTAACGCTGTGCTGAGACAAAACTCCTAGCATACTGCTCTTATACTTTAGCACCGTTATTAAAGAAAACAAAGGTTAGCTGAACAAAAGGACCTACACCATGACAGTCAGTCCGACTCCTAGTGGCCAACGAGTAGGTATCTTCTACAGAAATAACACACCGAACAGAGACTATCCTACACAAGGCAGAACGGCCTAGCATTTAAAGCTTATGAAATTGCTTATTTCTGGAAGTTTCCACTTAATGTTTTCAGACTGAAACTATGGGAAGCAAAATGAGATAATTGAAGAATATTACTTTGTTAATATAAGATTTGGGGATATCTTTTTCCCCCTCTGGAAAGTTGCTGTGTTTTAAAACCAGCCCCGTAGTCCCCGGCTGTGTCTTTGGTTGGGAGCCTGTGCTCTGTGCTGACAGACCTGCCCTGTCTTTGCAGGTGGGAGCTGGTTGGACCCGTGTCTCACTGCAGAGCTGGTGCTGGTGTGGCCGTGTGTGACTGCCTGACTAGCCAGATCCGAGACGTTGGCCACGGCTCCACTAACGTGGTCGACTGTATGTGATTGAAGTCCCGGCAATGTTCTCACATATCACAGACAGGAAGACAGGGAGCATTTTGGTGTGGCCCGTTTGACTGTGACCGCAGCTCCCATTCCTTTCAATGTCAGCTGCTGTAAGTACAGTTTGTGGCGCCAGAGCTGAAGAGGTATTAGTCGTGAAGATAAGTGTGGTAGTTCCTGCTTCAGCAATACCGGAGTAGGCAGGAAGCGCCTATCTTTGAACCCGTTCTTCTCCTGAAAAACGTTTCATGTAGTGCCAAACCTTCAAATAGCTGTTTATTTTGATGAATAAAACGTAATTTATTGAGTTCTGTTTATTCTTTTTCCTGAAGCAACTAACTTCAGGCAGTAGATTTTTCCCAGAGGAGAGTTAAGTCTACAGCAACACGAGGACTCTGAGGCCTGCTCCCCTGTGGATCATTCTACCCGGTGCTGATGAATTTGTGTTCCCTTTTGTCTATGGATGGTGACTTGCAGTTCCTGGGCGTTTACAAAGTAGGGAAAACGTTTGTGTGTTGCTGAGGCATTCTTAAACCATATCAGTGTCTGTAAGAAGCCCTTGGCTTCCGTTGGGAGGTTTAGAACTACATGCAGGCTGGCTACATGTGCTGGCTCCCCTCACCAAGTGGACTTTTTATCCATCTTTTTATCCATCTCATGCAAAACCACGAGCCTGAGAATTAGTGATGGCTGTAGACTAGCATTAATCTAATGCCCAGTGAAAAGACTGTGAGAAGGAGGTATGGGAAGTACATGGCCACCTAGGGAGGGAAATCTGAAGGTTCCTTTAACTGTGTTTGTTGGGTTAGTGATTGGGTTTGGAGCCAGGATGCATTTTCCTCTTATTTTGTTGTTTGTCACTGTCCTGGTTTTTTCTAATTGTACAAAGATGGATTTATTTATTATCAGGAGATGAATGCATTTTTACATATTCCCTTTATGCATTACAGTTTGATTAGCTCAAAATTTGTCATTAATCAATAAAATATGTTGTTGGTAAAAACAGAAAAAAATGGAGACTACTAGTTCTTTCATTGTTTAATATCCTACAGTGTATTTATTGAAACGTAATTGAATGTTTCTACAAATAATCTGAAGCCTAGACTACTGATGATCCTGCTGTGACAGAATGGCTCTTCATTGTTCTTTCTGTGTAAGTGTGTATCGTACACATTCACGGGTGGGCACAAGCTTAGCGTGAAGGTCCTCTAGATGGCCGTCCGTCTCACTCACTAGGCAGACCCAGCTGAACCCAGAGCTCGTCTCTTCACCTCGTCTGAGCAGTCAGCTCGCCCCAGCCATCCTGTCTCTACTTCCAGAGCGCTGGAATTGTAGGCAGCCTGCTTCACCTTCCTGGCATCCATGTGGGTGCTAGGGAGCAGAACTCTGGCCCGTGCCTACCACACATCAGACCAAACCCAAACCCGTGCCCAGTGGCGTCTTCATCTTCCATGAAGTTATTTTTTCCCTCTTGTCAGGATGTTTTGTGTGGAGAATGCTCCATGATCGCTGTGGTTTCTGTTTCAAATGAGTGAGTTCAAGTACACACAGGTGGGAATAAAAGAGTAAATGGAAAGCAGCAGGAAGGAGAGCATCACATCAGACCCTGAGACCATCCAGCAAAAACCCCTGGACCCCCCGCAGGCTGGAGCAGCCCAGAAGGAGGGTCCCAGGCAGATGTCTCGTTCAAGGTAGGACCTGATGTTGTCCTGGCTGAGTCTCTTGAGGTAGGAAGTGCTAGGATGGTTTGCCTGTCTTCAGGACGAGCCTTCTTGCTGTAACAACGCACTGCCTTGTGCTCAGTGCCCAGGCATCTTCACTCTTGCTCTGTTCTGTTGCTCCGCCTTTCTCACCGGGCCCAGGAGCACAGAAACAGCCCATCCCCCATCCCCTGGACAAGGGCTCTTGGAGGATGCTCCAAGATAATAAACATGCTTGGGTCTGAAGTGGGAGGGAATGGCACCTTCAGCTCCAGGGCCAGCTCCTCAGAGAGGTTAACCACGGACCTGCAAGCCTGAGGGCGGGCTTGGCTGGGTCAGCATTCTCCAGGATCTGTTTCTTAGCCGGTCCTCAAAGCATTTGACCATAACACCTGGCAGACTAGCTGCGTCTAGCTGAAGATGGAAAATGACTTGAAACGTGGCTGCTGTCGAGGTCTCGTCTAATACATGGCTGGACGCTTGTCATTGGCAGGCATGCTTTGTTTGTTGTCGGGGCTAAGGACCCTGATACCTCATTTGATTGTTCGCTTCTCTGACTTTTACTAGACAGTGGTCACCTGACATGCTGAGTTTGTACCCTGGTACCTGTGAAATGAGGTTCTCTTAAAAGAATGGGAAATAAGGGAAAAAAGGCAGTGAGAAGCATGGCAGGAAGGGCCCAGACAACAGTAACAGCCGCAACAACAAAACCAGGGTTAACAGGCAGGCTCTCCATAGGTTAAAGAAAAGACGTGCTTTGAGGATGAGCACAGATAGAGGAGTGCTGAGCTCAGATGGAGGTGCGCTATCCAGAGACAACACTTCACTGGGGGACTCACCGCTTCAACCTCAGGCGGGAACAGCTGAAATACTGAAATTGTAAGTGGAACAACACACTGGCATATGAGCTACACACACAGACACATGCGCACACACGTTAATTAGGTCTCACTCTGTGTTGCCAGACTGGCCTTGCAAACCAGGCCTCACGTGATGTACTTGTGCCCGCCGTCCGTGAAGCTGGGCTACTGCACTGGAGCAAACCTCTTGTGTGCTGTCTTGTCGAGACATACCCAGGCTCCTCTGTGCCACCCGCATTTAGTCATTACAGCCACACTGTACTGTATTGACACCCTGACTCCAAGCAAGTTAACGTTGTCTTTTACTTTCTCTGTTTGACACAGCTTTGTTTCTTAAGTGTTTTACTCCTTCCAAGGAGCCTATTCTGTTTCCTTCATTCCCAAATGAGCTGTGAAGTGACAGCTGTTAAACACCTACATAAGAGGTTGTGGCAGCTGTACGAAACACGTCTGCAAGTGGTAACCCTGAGACGTTTCTTTGTTGCTTTTGTTCCTCTGAGGCTGATTTTGACTCAAGCCGTATCAATGAGGAATGTTTCTGCGAGCTCTCATGCCAGGCTTTAAGGGAAGAAGTGGATCACAGGTAAGTGTGTCTGAGCAGGGAGGGCATGTGGATATGGAGGAAACTGAAGAGGGGAAAATTGAACAGTGGTGGCTGTATGAAGAGCCCGGGAAGCGTGTCATTTGTAGGCCGGTTAGGAAGAGGAGAGAGTACTGGGATTAGTAGATTAAATGGGGATGGGACAGGGTGGAGAAGGGGGAGAGGAGGAGGAGGTGGATTAATCAAAACTAATACCGTATGAGAAGACCCACTACTCAGCTCATTTGAAAATATAACTTAGAAGTGTAACTTGGAATTACCCTGTAAGGGTAGAAATTCTGCTCCAAAATGAAAATTGCCGTGCAAGGCACAAGGTATCTCCCTTTGAGTGATGGGGCCAGGCAGCCATGAGAGGACTCCAACAACACAAGTGGGTGGTTGCTGCGGTCTTTGGCTACCCACTAGGCGATTTTCCCTCTGTTGATGTCTGGGCTGGCGCATGTCAGGGCGAGCCATCATAGTAACAGAAAACAAAGACACTGTCATTTGCTGACACACTTGCATGTCACACTGTTGTTAATGCTCGCTTTAAAATGTTTGCAAATATTAATTACAAGTTTTTCCTTGGTCCCTGAGTTTAGGGGGGGGGCATGGAGAAGCAAATGTCTAGCGTAACTTTAGTCTATTATAGCAGACCAGCAAGGTATTTTCTCTGGCTGCCTGAACCTTCATATTCCTTGTCCAGGTGTGCGCATGTGCACACTCAGGGCCAATTGCAGTCCGTTTGATGCAGCGTGTTTTGAAATGTCTGCCTGCTTTGTCAGTTCTGTTACCCGGGAGTGTCATGTTGAGTTGGCTTTCATTTGTTTGCAGTTCTGGGATCCGCCCTGGGGCCTTGCTTACTCTCGCTGGGAGCTCCATGCTCAGCTCTTGGGTTTTTGAGACGTAAGCTGTGTGATCCTGCCTCGGCCTCCCAGGAGCTGCGTCACAGGTGTGAATGCCATGCCATGTCATCCCTCCACCATCTTAGGCTCATCAGGTAGGTAGCCATGCCATCCCTCCATGGTCTTAGGTTCATCAGGTCGGCAGTAATCCTGGCCCCTGCCCTCTTGCCCTCACCTGCTGTTGAAAGGAGGCAGAACCATAACAGTCCCAACCGGTTTTCTCAAGTTGCCCCGTCACTGAGCACCTGGGACTCCAGTTCCCTGCCCTGTGAGTCAGTGCAACTATTGAACACGAACAGGTTTTACCCCTTGGCTGCTGTGGTTCTGAGTCTCTTTGAAGGATGCTGCTATCTTCATTGCTCTGGCAGCATTTAGTGGGGGTGTTAAAGGAATTCAGAAATGTAACCAATATTTTATCACGACTGTTCCAGAATGCCTTTTAATTTTTTGTTTTTTTGAGAAGTGTTGCTATTTGGCTTAGGCTAGCCTTGAATTCAGTATGTAGCTGAGGCTGTCCTCCTGCCCCAGCATCCACAGTGCTGGAATTAGAGGCACACACCAGCACAGCAAGCTGTCAGGGCCCTTGTGTTGTAAGGCATTCTGTTTTGATCCGTGCTTCCTCACTTCCTGACGGCTCATTGACGTTCTCCACGCATGGCTACGTTGCCGTCTGTGCGTTCCTGCAGCCTTTGCTTCCCGGCGCATCTACTCAGGTCCTGACATTTTTGCACTTCCGATATTCCTACCAAGACCATTTCCCGTGTTTTTTCCAGAAGTGATTTTGGTGATTTGCTGCTGTGGTATCTCATTTCGGTTTTGTTTGTATGTTAATGACCTTACTTTACTGCCCTGCCAGAGAACATTCTAAGTCGTGGCTTTTTCTGGGGACCAGGAGTGATTTCACTGTCTGCCTTTGTGCCCTTATTTCCATTGACGGCTGGTTAATGCCTTCCTTCCCTGTGGACTCTGCTCTTCCTGTCTCCCTGCACTTCTAAGATGTAAAGTCTGTTTCTGTCAGCATGCAGTGTCTTGATTCGGCTCTCTAGAGAGTGTCCTGCTAGTACATATTTGTGACGTGTATTTGGGCTCTTCTCTCCTCCTGAAAATTTCAGCTACGGACTTGGTGCATTTTTTTCTCTTCCATATTATTCTATTCCGGGTCTTTTTTCCCTTTCCAGAGAGTTTGAATTTTTCTGCATGTGTGTGTGTTGTGTGTGCATATACCAGGAGTATGGAGGTCAGAGGACAACTTGAGGAAACCA